ATGGTCGATCAACCCATTTTTCATTGCGGTTATTACTTGATCCTCCTCGATTATCCCTTCTTGGCGACCTTTTCCTAGGAGACGATCTCGGCTGAGGGCTCCTCCTGGGAGAAGATTGCCTCCCTTTCTTATGTTCTTGTCGAGTAACATTCTCCAGTCTTGAGAATTCCTCCTCCGTCTCCTCCAGGTTGATGTACTTCTTGCAACGTTTCAATATGTCTTCATAAGATCGAGCAGGTGTTTTAGCCAAGGATGTTTGACAAGGTCCTGCTCGAAGGGTCTGGATTAATCCTCCTGCTTTTACCTCATCTGATGCCGAAGGTATTTCTAAGCATGTTTGATTATATCTAGCCACATACTTTCGGAGTGACTCATGTTCCCCTTGTCTCATCGCCATCAAAGTAAGGTATGTCTTCTCCTGCTGGGAGACAGAGCTGGAGTATTGGTTCAATAACTTCTCGGTGAAATCCTCAAAATCTCTGATCGATCCTGGGGGAGCTGGTTGAACCAGTCTAAGGCACCTCCCCTTAGAGTCGACAAGAATGGCCTACAACTCATGGCCTCTGAATAACCATGCAAAACTGCCATGTTCTCAAATGTTCGAACATATTGCGATGGGTCTGTTGTTCCATCAAACACCAAATGAGTTTCCTTGAAATTCCCTGGTAGTGGTGCATCCAAAATTCGGCTTGAAAAAGGATGTCCTCTAACTCGACCAGATGGCCGGCCATCGACCCTCTCCTGCAATTGTCTCCCTTGCTCGACTAGCCTCTCTATTTCCCCTCCGTGAGGAGGTGCTTCTCTACGGCTAGACGTATTCTCCTCATTGGCTTCACTCATCGTCGTCGGGGCAGCTGTTGCTTGAGATTGACTAGCTGTTACCTGTCGTACTGCTCGAGCCACAAAATTAGCTATCATCTGTTCCTGCTGCTCTCTGGTCAGAGTCACTACTTGTTGTTCCGGAGGTCGATCCGCCATCAATGGTGGTACAGGTTGGGCTCTAGCTCCTTCATTTTGCGCTATTACCCGGTTTGCTTGAGATGGTGGTTCAACCACTCTGTCCTGCTCTCTATTTGCTGGAGGTATCACCGGCTGTCCTCCGCCCTGGATTACTATCGTCGGATTCTCTCCACCCTGGGCTACAGTTGCCGGATCCCCTCTACCTTGGGTTATAGTTGCTGGATCCCTTCCACCTTGGGGTATAGTTGTCGGATCCCCTCCACCTTGGGTTATAGTTGGACGACTCCCTAGTGTTTGTGATGTTCCGGAAAATCCTGGTGGTGGACCTTCCCCTATCGGTCTCGTTTCTGTCCATGCATCATCAAATCAGGACTGCAAGTTTTTCCTCAGAATCCCGTCCATCATAGCTTCAGACGTTGTAAAGCAAAAGCTTCTTGTTCAAAGTTCCCACAGACGACGCCAAAATTGTATCAAATTGGTACCTCGAACCGGTCAGACCTTTTGAGATCTCGTCTTCCACGCTGGTTAATTGCCCTGAATACCTGGAAAAAAGCCAGTGCCGGAGGGAAGGTCTCTCCGGTTTGGCCCTCCGATGCTTAAGTTAGTTTTTTTCTTCTTGGTTTAGAATGATTGATGAAAAATTGTATGTCGCGTACCTCTCTCTGCCTTGTCGTTACCTCTTTATATCTGTTTACATGAGTAGTGGTTTGACCCACGTCGTAACCGTCCTTGTCAAGTTTTCCCCACTATTAAGGATCGTTGAAATTCTCTTTACGGTTCTATATAGTGCCTTACTACTCCATCGACTAATCCATCTGCTCCTGATCAACTATTCCTTTGCTTCTGATCGACTATTCATCTTCTCGATCATTAAGCCGTTTGCCCTCACTAGACTAACATGTCGGTCTTGAACCGAGGATGTAATATCCCACATCACAATTAATGAAGCTCTCCGAAAAAACAAATCAAATGATTTATCAAAGTTTTTATTTTTTTACAATTTTAAATATATATACCCAGCTCAAAAAAACTCATTGCATAAATATGGACGAGTTTAAGAAAATTTCATAACCCAGCTTACAAAATTCCATCTCCACGAGTCAAAAAAATCACATCCCTCATCTATCGTAACAACTTTGAAGATAAATAAATAAAAGTCTAATTACTACTATAAATATATTATCTATTTTAGATTTTTTTAAAAATCTAAATTTCACCTGTCTAATTACTAATATTTTAGATACTTTTAAATATTATTTGTATAATTTTTTTACACATTTTCTCTCTCTCTCTCTCTCTATATATATATATATATATACATATATGGAGGTTAAATGAAGAATTTTTAGACATGTGTTTCTAACGGGTAGTTTAGAAAAATTTTGGTAGCTTCAAACATTATTTGTGAATAATATAGAATATTTTAGATACTTTTATAGATGTTATAAAATATTTGAAGTATTTTTAGTATTTATATATCACACTTAGAAAGAATATTTGTAAAAAAAAAATATTAAATACACATTGTAAATGTTAATAGAAATAGTCTTCAGTGTACGTCTTTGATCTCAATTACATATTAAATTTCCTTTTATTAGTCACATAATTTTTGGTGTGCATTAATCTTGATTTGTATTTGTAAAATTGATAGCTTTTGCACTAATTTAAATTTTTATTTGTAAAATTGATAAATTTGTTAAGCGTACAAATTCCTTTTTTATGGTAACAACTTAAAAAAATGATAGTAATTTTTGAAATATTGTGTAGTCAAATCTTCATATGGAAGTAACATCATAATTATGGTATCTTATAAATCTTCTCTAAAACAACTTTAGCGTGAGATAATGACTTTATTTAGGCTTATAATATTTTAGATACTAAAACAAAATGTTCAGAAATATTTTTTTAGAGATTCTATCTGTAGCATCCCGACTTTTTACTGAAATCAGAGTACACGTTTTTTGCAAATTTCTGAATAAATAAATAAAATATTTATTTTGCGAAAACTAATTCGGGATGCTACCGTGAAAAACTTGATTTTTTTTTCTGAAAATCATTAAATTTTAAACTGATAAATAAAAACGGTTATAATGTCTTAACCGACTAACGTCGAACCAAAAGTTGAAAATAAGTACTGATAGTTTTAGCGAAAATAACAGCGTGGCAAAACA